TTCTAAAGATATTAAATAAACTAATGCAATTTTAGTTATTTAAAAATGATGTTATTATTATAAAAATAAAAACATCAGAAATATAATTATTCAGTTGTATTTTTAAACTATTTAAGATACATATTTGTGACGATGACAGTTTATTTTTCTGTTCTGTTTTTGACCTAGAAATTATTAATAACTTGCGCAACATGTAAAAACTGTTTAAATAATTTCTTTATAAATTCAATCAATGTAATATGTTCCTTAAAGTAGTTTATAGTATTTTGAATTTAAAGTTTATTTTAATAAAAACTGGAAAATCCAATTGTCGTTTTTGTATGACCCTTATTTTTATTTTATTCAAAAAAGGAATTGCTGAAATATTATGATTTACGGTTAAAAGAGGGACACACAGAAAGGTAAGTGTCAAACAATTTATTTAGGTCCAGGATGTTTAAAACTGTTAACATTATTCCTTATCAATAAATTCCGGTTTAAGAAATATCATAAGGTCGTCAGTCCCAAGACTAGTTGAACACGCATCTCTACTCCTTTATATCCTCAGCTAACCTTCGCATTTCCTCAAAACTAGAACAACCACATCCATAACTATTTGTGAACAGTAATCTAATCTAGTTCTACCTCTACCCCTCCTAACTCAATTTACTGCCACTAATATATCTGTGACTAGACCTTCATGTCTGAGAAGGTGTCCTGCCAACTTATCTAGCCTATTTCTTATTGACTTCCATAGAGTCCCCTACTCTCCTATTCTTTCTAATACCTCTTCATTTCTAACCTTCTCTATCCACGGTATCCGCATCATTTGCCTGTAACACCACATTTCAAACGCTTCTAACCTTTTCTTTTCCTCCGCGCTCACTGTCCGTGTTTCGCACCCGTATAATGCCGTGCTCCAAACATACACCTTTAACAACCATTTTGAACTACTAAATTAACCGTTTGCGAGCATAGAAGTGACTTCTTTTTATTAAAGGCGGCTTAATCCTGCACTATCCTCTGCTTTATAACCCAACTACTTCTACTTNTTTGTAGAATTTTCTATATTTCAAGTTTATTAATAATTACATATCAACTAAAATACCTAGCAAATTTATTTTTACAAATTCGGGTCCAAATTGTAATTTTTATTATGTTCACTTACGAAGCAACGGGCTAGTGGGATAAATTGTAAATATCGCTTTAATATTTAGGTAAATTTTCCTTTTTCATTTTCTCTGTGAAGCGACTAAACGTTCGCCGACGAAATAGCTTATTATAAGACAAAAGACCTAATGCCACTGGGTCGAAAGTTTGCTATTGTTTTCATAATTGACGCATGCGCGGTGGATTTATTCGTTTATTTAAGTAAATGAAATACAAGTACAATTCCGCTGCACATCACTTCACAATTCAATTAACGCAAATGGTCCCGTAATATTGATGGTAGCTTTTTTATTAATTTCTGTTTTTTTTTACTTATTTCACGTCACTATCATGTCTTTTTTTTTTCATATAGTAAACGTACCTACTGTGGAATTAAACAATATAGCCGTTTGTGCAAATTTCAAAATTTGGACGGAATTTACCTAAATAAAAAATGACGGCGGACTTTTTTTATAATTTCTTATACAGTAAAAGCTCATTATTCGCGGGGTATACGTTCCATAAATATGCCGCGAATACAGAAACTGTGGATATGGAATGGTAATTAGTATGGAATCATAGGGGATAAGTTCTAAGGCTCCAAAATAAAACCAATATGTATCAAAATAAAATCAATGTATTGATAAATTTGCAATTAAAGTTAATCGCTATAATCACCTGTAGACAAGAGTTTAAGAAATTTAGTGATTTTTTCTTGTTTTGAATTTTGAAATTAGTCCACTCGGTTTCATCATTTATAAAAGTCGCCTCGGCACAAGCCAATAGCTATTCACGAGTCACAATTATGTTTTCACGCACAATTATTCGGCCAAACGTTGGGCTGCCAGTTTAAGCCTTTGAGGATACTTCGTGAATAAA